TATTTAATAGCTTATAGAGCTATAAGAGCGAAGATTTAATATTACTATTAATATATTAATATACTTCTTATACTATTTATAAAGTATTATAAAGTATTCTTTAAGATACTTATTAGATATAAAGTTAATTTAAATAATTATAATCTTACTTAACTATTATTTTAATTAATATATATATTATACTATTATAATAATATATAACTCGCTATCGCGATATTATAATAAGAATAAGTAAAGATAAAATAGTAGATATAAAGAAGAATTAAGTACTTACTTATAATAGCGTCGATATTAATATTATTACTAAAAAGAATAAAAGTTAAATTAAAAATAAGACTTTTATATTTACTAGCGCGATATTTATAATTATAATAATAGAATTATTATAATTATTAAAGTAATAATAATAATAATAGCGTATAATAATAGTAATAATAGTATATCGCGATAGAATAGTAATATATTTATATCTTATTAATTAAGATAATAATATATAAAGTAATATTATCGCGATTTAGTATATAAATATATTAATATATTTAAAAGATCTCGAGATAAGTAGTTTAAATACGCTATTATAGTATATATTAATTTAGATTATATTTAAGCTAGTAATAAATAATATATATAAAGTTAATAAGTTTATAGTATTTAATTATAAGACGTAATAATAATAAGATTTAGAGATTATATTTTCTAAGAGAGAATATAGTTATAAGAGTAAAAATACTTAAAGCGAATTAATAAACTCGTTTACGTTATTTACTAGATTATAAGTTATATAACTAGAGCGAGTATTTAATATATTTAATAAAGTCTTAAATACTTATAAGTTCTCTTTTTTCTTCTTTTTTTTTAGGTTATTAGTTTATCTAGTAACTAATCTATTTATTCTATTAACTACGTATCTAGATCTCGTAATTATATAGCTACTACGTAGTTTTATTAAAAGAGATCTTACTATCTTATATTTAAATATCGCTTATTAGAGTTCGATAGCGAAATAGCTCTAATTAAAAAATAGATATATATTATTTAATTTTGAAATAACTTTTTTATTTTCTACTATAATTATAATTTTTTTTTTTAAATTATAGAATAAAATATAAGCTTTTAGATAAAAATAGAATTCTTAAATTTAGTCTTATAATTATTAAAAGATAAGACATTTAAATATCGCTTATTAAAGATCGCTTATTAAATTTACTCGATAGCTCTAATTAAAAAAAAAATTATAAATTTAATTTATAGATCTTTACTCGTATATTAATATATTAATTAATATATATAAAAGAATAAGATAGAGTTAAGCTTAAAAATTTTAAATTTATATATATAGTTAATTATAAATTTAGAATTACTACGCTCTTTAATTAGATCGACTAAGTTATCGTAAGTAAATAAATTAATATTTATAATTATTAAAAAAAGTCGAATAGCTTTAATTAAAAAATAGATATATATTATTTAATTTTAGAATAACTTTTTTATTTTCTATTAAAACTTTAAGATTTTTTTTTAAAATTATAGAACGAAATATAGATCTTTAAAGAATTTTTTTTAAATTTAATCTTATAATTATTAAAGCGTAAGGAAATCAAATATCGCTTACTAAAGATCGCTTATTAAAGATTACTTATCTATTTACTCGATAGCTCTAATTAAAAAAAAAATTATGAATTTAATTCATAGGCCTTTACTCGTAACTATATACTAGAATTATAAGTCATTTTCTTCTAAAAAAACATCAATGCAATTTTCTTCTATATTCAATTAAGACATCAATATTGCTTTTACCTATACTGATCGTAATGCCTCTCTTCCCTTTTCCGTCTTTCCACGAGTTGCAACACGTTGATGCTGTAGATTTCATCTGGTCCCCGGCCTCCCTTTAGTACGTCCTTCTCATGTGCCGCCGCCTCGTCTTTAGTCATGCACACCAACTCGTTCAGACTTAGCCTTACGCTTTTCCGCCCTTCTCGGTTCTCCTCGATCTGGAATCCACCTTCGGGCACTTTCCACCTCACCAACGCCAATCTCGTCGGCAAATTACTCACCACGCTCTTTCCTCGATAAACCTCTTCGACCAGGTATCCCACGTCGTCCTTTGTCACGGGGATCTTGAGGCCTAAAGAGTCTGCTCCCTCGTATCTTGCTAACCGCTCCTCCAGACCTTGTAGATTTGCCAAAATGTTGGCGTACATCTTCTCTCTTCCCTTGCCCGCTCCGCTTTCATGAGGGTATCCAGTAAGTTCCAAAACGACAAAATTTGCCATGGTGTATCCAAAAACTGCAGGCATCGTGCCTAAGACCGGTAAAATCCTGGCTCGGAAGTCCGGTAACACGCTCAGCTCGTTCGTTTGGCCCTTCAGGAACTCTTCTTCTGGTAGCGGCAATAATTGCGCTTTCCCTGGGCCGGGTTTCTCTGTGGAGTATACCACTGGAATCCCTTCGCTAATGCCTACAGCTCGTAGTCTCCGTCTTGTAACTCTTGATAATGGATCCTCCACACTCGCGCTGATGTCTCCTACGAACACTCTCGTGGGATCGCTCTTACATCCTGCGCCCATGGAGCTGACGACTCTGACACCATGCTTGTGACAATACTCCAGCAAGGCGACTTTGCTGTCAATGTTGTCGATCGCATCGACTACGTAATCTGGATTTCGACCCTTGCCCGTACACCACGGTCCAAATAACCTCTCCGCCCGCTCTTGTTTCCAGACTTCATTAAAAGGCTCCCACTGCACCCATGGTACTATTGCCTGTAATCGTTTCGGTACGCATTCCACTTTCGGTGTACCAACGTCGGCAAGGGTGGCAACAGCATGTCTGTTGAGAGATGAGAGAGTGACTTGGTCGAAGTCAATGAGGCGGATCTTTGAGACACCGGAGCGGGCGAGAGCTGAGGTGCAATGTGAGCCAACACCACCAAGGCCGACGACAATCACAAAGGAGTCGCGGAGCAGAGCAAAGCGATCGGAGCCAAGAAAAGAAGTAGTACGTGTGAGTTGCTCAGTGATCAAATCTGAGGAGTTCAGCATGCGCCCTCGATAGGTTCGTAGAGCTTAGATAGATAGACCTTTGTCATAATCACCTTGCTGGGCACGACGAGCGAGAGCAGATACTCTTTCGTCCTCTCTGCTGGCCTTCGGTGGTGGCGAGGCAGCACCAAAATCTGTGAGCTTCACTGAGCCGATGAGCGTAGATCCCGTTTGTCCTAATCGTGAAGTCTAAACGTACCATGTCTGCATGGTGAGTTGCATCCAGCTCTGGAATCGATGCTTTCAACTCTTGCACAGCCTCCTTGCGTCGAATTGCTTGTGTTCCATAGATGAGTGCCGCGACAGTCACGCCGGAGAGGACGACCGCGGCGGCAAGCTGTGCATGGTGAGAGGAAGCTTGACGTTCAAACCAGGAAGTCATGGTTTCTTGAGGCTTGGGCTCTGAATTCCGGGCGATACGCGGATACTTTGTCTGCGACTTAAGTTTTTCCTGCCCCTCCATACTTGACGATCAGCATCATGGTGGTGACTTGCCAGACAGTCGCCAGCATGTTGGGTAAGGTAAGGTTGTAAGATAGTTACCGTAGCCAGTACTTTACTCGTAGTATCAGAAGTGAGTAACCTCGCTTAATAGCGCCGGGAGAGTTGACCAATCAAACTACTTAGTTCACCGCGAAAACGTAGTTTGATTGGTCAACTCTCCCGGCGCTATTAAGCGAGGTTACTCTTCTGGATACTACGAGTGAGTGCCATCCAGTTCCGGGCCGTTTTTGCGTGCAGGACGCTAGAGGCGGAGATCTTCCGAGTTCGTTTCGCACCCGAGGGACCCCTCGGCCCTCGCACCTAAGGTATGCCTCCGGAAAATCCCAGGATTATTCGTGTTTTGGAAGCCAGCCCAAGGTAAGATACGTCTTTCTATTGAGGTCAAACATGACATAGAACAACTGACGGAAGACATTTAGTTCATACTCGATGCAGAAACTCATCACCAGAGCTCCACGACGTCCCTGCGCGGACTGGCTCATCCCAGATCTGCCAAAGGACCCATGAGTGAGAGACGTGAACAGAGATCTTAGAGTGCTCGTCTTCAGACTTGCAGCATGAACCGCGTGTGCTTCTTACAAGTTACAATACCCTCATCCTTTACGTTCACCTGTCGGACATTCCTGTATCTGTTCTTTTCATAAGGGCGGCTGGTTTTGCAATTCTGACGGCGCTAGGCACGAAGAGACGTGTAGCAGCCGTGACGACACTAGCTTCCCAGAGGCGAAGTGCTGCTTCTCTGCGAGCCCGACTGGGTGAACATTGAGGTATAGCGAAGACTTCGCTGATGATGGGCTCACACAGTAGTTTTCAATCGGAGAGGCATATCGCTCCGTATGTGATCCTCTTCATCGTATTTTTCCAACCACGCTTACGGGTGTTCAGGTCGCGGTAGTTCAGACGTGCTCAGAAGGAGCGAAGCCGCTGTCTTTTCCAGGTTTTATTTCATGAAGGCGAGATATGGTCGGCGATGGAAAGGGTTCCGGCTCAGTGATGAGAAACGTGTCAAAAGCCAAAGTTGATGGTAGCCTGCTGGAATTTGCACTGCTTGAAAGAGCAGAGTAGACGACCACAGTATGGCTGTCGATGGGAACTTTGAGAGCTAATCTGGTATGTACAGTTCCAAGCTAATCCCTTCTAATTCATACTATTACTCGAGTTGCAAGACAAGTCTTGGGAGCAAAATGGTCCTTTTAACTCCTTCGAAAAATTGCTTCGGAGAAGAAACGCTGATTCCGAATCCTTTATAGAGAGCCTGGCATTAATTTAAATGATGAATCTGCAAGCTGTATCGTGCACTCCAAAGCGGTGCGTTTTCTATGTCATTGAAAACATTCTGTATGTGGTTTTTTCTACAATGAAGCTATATGAAGGCTCGTGATGTGGAGGCGCGCTTGTGATCTCTGCCATTCCGTTACTCCTGGTATCTTCCCTTCACCAACGCCCTTCCTACTACTTGACTGAAGCGTTCAGATGCCAATCAAAAACTTTCTTGAAGATGCTTTTTCCACCGCTTTCGATCACGTCGCCGTGGCACGGAATTATCCTGTCAAAGTCCCAGCTAGCAATCTTCCTCGCACTCTGATTGAAACCTTGACGATCTCCCGCACTTGCAACGTACCAAAGGAATCTCTTCTGCCATTTCGCAGGTCCCATTGTATTTTGTAAACCAATGAATAATCTTGTCAAGATGCCGGACGTTGGATCTTCGCCGGTCCTAGAGAATTGTTCCTTCGCGGGGAGATTGAACATCATACTGGATCAAACCGCAGTCAGTGCTGCATATTTAAGGGAGGAACTCCTCTCAAGATTGTTCCAAGACCCAAGATCTGGTCCAAAAGAGAAGACGTGGACTGCGAGAAGACGTACTCCGCCTCTATCAACGTCCTGTCACGCTTGTGAACAAGGACTAGCTCCTTGTTTGCATGACTTCCCACATACTCGTAGTCGAATTCTTCGTCGAATTCCGGGTCGACTTTCATGTTTGCCTTATTCTTCTGTGTCCATACATGCTGGAATTTGCTGCCGGCAGTAGCTTGATTCTTTTCACGTTTCTCTGCCAGGCCTTCGACACCTAGGAGCTTGGCTGATGGATATGCTTTGGCCCACTCGGTGATGAAAATATGGTGCTCGTAATCCCCTGCAGCAATGTATCCAACTTTGTTCCCCATGGATTCGACTGTAGAGCGGACTTCGGGTGTGAGAGCGGTGGGAGAGAAGACTGCGAGGGCGCCGGACTGGAGTCGTACTAGATATATATCTTAGCTCCGTAATAGAAAGCGCACCGACGGTTATACCAATAGTGCCTCGCCCACCGACCTTGAGTCTACCGAATCGAAGGAATGGCGCCGAGCACGTCGTAATGTTTGGGGTGACCTGTCGAATCACCATCACCTTGGAGGGATCTGAAGGGATGAGCTTGGAAGTCATGCTGTAGAGGTGCTGTGAGTATTATAATGTTAGTTGTGAGTCGGGGAGGGCGAATACTCGTATATACCCGGAAGTGCCCGATACCTGGTAATGCACGGTTTAAAATCCACTTCAGTAATTCGTCCTTTCACAATAGTAATATAAAAAAATTGAAAAATTAAATAAAAGAACGTAAAATAAGCGTCTAGAGCTTTAAGAATCTTATAAATTATAGTTATATTAATAACGTTATATATTAATACGAGTAAAGGCCTATAAATTAAATTCATAACTATTTTTTTTAATTAGAGCTGTCGAGTAAATTTGATAAGCGATCTTTGATAAGCGAACTTTGATAAACGATATTTGAGCTTCTTACTTCTTAATAATTATAAGATCGAATTTTATAATTCTTTTAGCATTAAATAATATAAACTACTCTTTATATTTTAAAAAGAAAATCTTAAAATTATAATAGAAGATAAAAAAGTTATTTTATTTATAAATACTATATATTTAATTTTTAATAAAGAGATATAAAAGAGCTATCGAGCTAACTTAGTCGATCTAATTAAAGAGCGTAGCGAACTCGAATTTATAATTAGCTATATATATAAATTTAAAATTTTATAGCTTAACTCTATCTTATTCTTTTATATATATTAATAATAAAATCTATTTAAATACTATAAGCTCGAGATAAGTTTTCGAAAGAGTATCCTTTAAAACTCACCCTCGGATTTTTCGGATTTAAGACCGGGCATTATCAGATATCGAGTACTTTTAAATATATACGAGTATTTCTTAGCGATATTCATAGTCTTAGAATTAAGACTCTATCTTTAAAGAAAGTTAAAATATTATTAAAAAGCTTACTTTCTTATTACTTAAAATTAAAATTATTAAATATTCGATAATTATAAAGTTAAAGTTAATTAATTTAATCTTTAAACTCTATAATTTTAACGTTAAAACTTATCTTATTTTTTATTTCTAAATTAAAAGCGAGTATATACGAGTATATTTAAGAGAGAAAGTTAAAAAAGAACTTTAAAATCTTTAAATTAATCTTCTTTAATTTCTTTTATTAATATATATAATAGAATAAGTTTAGGTCTATAAATTAAATTTATAGAAAGTAATTTATTTTTAAATCTAATCTCGAGATTAAATTCGATTCTCGAACTTCGAAGAGTAAAAATATTTTAATTTAAGGTTTACTTAGAATTATAAGATTAAATTTTAAAAATTTTAAATTATTAGAGAGCGTAGATTAAGTTCTATAATTTAAAAAAAAAGTAGTATATTTTTAATAGAAAAAGAGAAGTTATATTAATAATAGATTTCTAGAAAGTTAATTATCTTTCGATTTAATTTAAATTTAATTAATAAGAAACTAATTTTAATATCTATAATAGTCTTTTTATTTTAATTACTATTACTATTTTTATTATTTTTTTAATTATAAAAAATTTATTAGTTTTATAATTTTTATCGATTCTATAATTTTTACGATTTTACGATTTTTTAGCGAGAGAGATTAATGAATTCGAATCGAGGACGAAGCGAAATAGTTTCGAAATTTATTGAAATTATTACTACTCGACTATCTAAGCTTATATAAAAGAGTGTTCTTAATAAAGTAGATAAGTTTTTAATAAGCGATATTTAAATCCTCTATCTTTAAACAATTATAAGACTAAATCTAGAAATTCTTTTTTTATTTAAGAGCTCATATTTCGTTCTATAATTTAAAAAAAAAATCTCAAAATTTTAATAGAAAAAAAAATGTTATTTTAAAATTAAATAATATATATCTAATTAGAGCTATTCGACTATCGAGCGAACTTTAATAAGCGATACTTGAATTTCTTACACTTAAATAATTATAAGATAAAATTTAAAACTTCTTTTTTTTATCTAAAAGCTTAGATTTCTTTCTATAATTTAAAAAAAAAATCTTAAAATTTTAATAGAAAATAAAAAAGTTATTCTATATGTTAATAACGTATATCTATTTTTTTTTAATAAGAGAGCTTAAAAGAGCTATCGAGCTAACTTAGTCGATCTAATTAAAGAGCGTAATAAATTTAAATTTATAATTAGCTATATATATAAATTTAAAATTTTATAACTTAACTCTATCTTATTCTATTATATATATTAATAAAATAGAATTAATTTAAAAAATCTTAAATTTATATATATTAATAAAATAGAGTTAATTTAAAAAATCTTAAATTTATATATATAATTAATTACGAGTAAAGATCTATAAATTAAATTTATAATTATTTTTTTAATTAGAGCTATCGAGTAAATTTAATAAATAATCTCTAATAAGCGATATTTAAATATCTTATCTTTTAATAATTATAAGATTAAACTTTAAAACTCTTAAAGTATTTAAAAGCGTAATCTACGCTTTATAATTAAAAAAATTAAAATTTTAATAGAAAATAGTAAAGTTATTAAATGATTAAAAGTAGAATAAGAGATTTTAATAATTACGAACGCTAATTTATTTACTCGCGATATCTAATTAAAAAGCGTAGTAACTCTAAATTTATAATTAACTATATATATAAATTAAAGATTTTTTAACTTAGCTCTATCTTATTCTATTATTAGTATACGAGTAAAGGCCTATGAATTAAATTCATAATCATTTTTTTGATTAGGGCTATCGAGTAAATAGGTGAGCGATCTTTGGTGAGCGAACTTTGGTGAGCGGGCTGTCCGGCTGTCGAGCGAACTTTGGTGAGCGATATTTAGACTCCTTGCTTATTAATAACTATAGGACCAAATTTCAAAATTGTTAAAAATTTGGAAAGCGCAAACGACGCTCCATAATTTAAAAAAAAAATCTCAAAATTTCAATAGAAAACAAAAAAGTTATTCTATTCGTGAATAACGTACACCTATTTTTGATGAGGGAGACGCGGGAGGGCGAGATTTTGATGGTTGCGGACGCTAATTTATTTACCCGCGATGACTCAGCCGGTCTAACCAAAGAGCGTAGTGACCCTGAATTTATGATTGGCTGCACATACAAATTCAAGGTTTTCAAGCTCAGCCCTACCTTATTCTGTTATATATACTGATATAATAGAATAAGATAGAGCTAAATTAGAAAACCTTGAATTTATATGTGCAGCCAATCATCAATTCGTCAGGTCTACGCTTTTTAGTTAGATACCGCGGGTAAACAAATTAGCGTCCGCAACCATCAAAAATCTCTCCTACCTACTTTTAACCCTTTAATAACTTTACTATTTTCTATTAAAATTTTAAGATATTTTTTTTAAATTATAGCCCGTAACTTGCGCTTTTTAATGCTTTAAGAATTTTGAAATTCGGTTTTATAATTATTAAAAGGCAAGGCACTTAAATATCGCTCATCAAAGATCGCTCATCAAAGATCGCTCACTAAATTTACTCGATAGCCCTGATCAAAAAAATAATTATGAATTTAATTCATATGCCTTTACTCGTATATATTAACGAGTTTAAATCTATAAATTAAATTCATAATCTATTTTTTTTAATTAAAGCTATCGAGTAAATTTAATAAGCGAACTTTAATAAGCGATATTTGAATTTCTTATTTTTAAATAATTATAAGACTAAATCTTATAATTCTTTTAGCGTTGAAAAGCGTAAACTATACTCTATAATTTTAAAATAAATCTTAAAATTTTAATAGAAAATAAAAAAGTTATTTTATAATAAATAACGTATATCTATTTTTTTAATAAGAGAGCTCGAGAGGGCTAGCGGGCTAACTTAGATAGTCTAGCCAGAAGGCGTAATAACCCCGAATTTATGATTGGCTGCACATACAAACTCAAGGTTTTTTAGCTCAGCCCTACCTTATTCACGATTAATCATTTTAGTGCGCACGTCATCTGCGTTGAAATTCCTCTAGTAAACACATTGAAAAGCATGGCTGCCTCTATCCTAAGATGGCCATCTGGGTCTAATGAAATAGATGAAGCCTTTCTCTCGAATACCCATCAATATGTTTGCGCGACACGGTGTGGCTACCGCTGCGCGGAAAGCACCAACAATCGTTGGTAAGCCCTACCCTCGTTATTGGAAAAACCCTCAAGCCCGACAACTGCATCTGTCACCATTGCGTCGAGCTCAAGGATCGCCGGGTCCTCGAAATTTCCATGCCACATCCTCTCGCAAAGCTCAGCCAGTTTCAGTACATGCCGTCGACGATCCGCCGCTTCAGCCCCCTGACTCCTCCAACCCTGCCCTCTCATTCCCATGTCTCGATGCTCAAGAGGCCAAGACAGCTTCACTTTCTAAGCGCTCCCTATCTTCCGGTCCTGAACCATCATATGTCACCGGTATACATCGCAGTTGGCATTCTCAAGATGCACTGCTTCTTGACTGGGGGGGGCGTTCTGCCAGAATTTAATATAGCTTATGAGAATTGGGGACAACTAAACGAGGATAAAAGCAACGCCATACTTCTACATACTGGACTATCAGCATCCAGTCATGCACACAGCACAGAGGCAAATTCCAAGCCTGGGTGGTGGGAGAGCTTTATTGGCCCCGGAGCCCCTCTTGACACTAACAAGTATTTCATTATCTGCACAAATATCATAGGGGGCTGCTATGGCAGTACAGGGCCCAGCTCGCTCGATCCGGCAGATGGCCTAAATTACGCTACGCGATTTCCAATTCTGACAATGGAGGATATGGTGCGAGCACAATTCAGGCTGCTCGATGCATTTGGGATCAAGAAGTTATATGCGAGTGTCGGATCGAGCATGGGAGGTATGCAAAGTCTAGCAGCTGGCGTGATTTTTCCTCAAAGAGTGGGTAAGGTGGTCAGCGTGAGCGGCTGTGCACGAAGTCACCCCTACAGCATTGCAATGCGGCATACGCAGCGTCAAGTACTCATGATGGATCCGAACTGGTCACGAGGGTTTTACTACAATAGCATACCGCCGCACGCAGGTATGAAGCTTGCTCGTGAGATCGCTACTGTGACATATCGAAGCGGACCAGAATGGGAACAGCGCTTCGGCCGAAGGAGAGCGGACCCGAGCCGACCGCCGGCGCTTTGCCCAGATTTTTTGATTGAGACATATCTTGATCACGCTGGAGAGAAGTTTTGTTTGGAGTACGATGCCAACAGCCTTCTCTACGTCTCCAAGGCAATGGACCTATTCGATCTTGGACGCGAGCATCAACTGCAGATGTCTGGCCTCCGACAGCAGAACAACTCAAGGTATTCTTCCGGAGAGAAGGTCGAAGGAGACGGTCGTTATTGCAGTCTTGCGCTGCCAGACAAGCCTTATGAAGAGCAAGCCGCTGAGACGGCTTCCCAGTCTTTCTCCGAACCTGTAGCTTTCACCTCGACGAGACCCCCAGATGATCTTGTGGCCGGTCTTGCACCGCTACGCAGTCACCCAACCTTGGTCATGGGCGTCGCCAGCGATATCCTTTTTCCTGCTTGGCAGCAAAGAGAAATTGCGGAAACGTTGCGAGCGGCCGGTAACCGATCTGTTACGCACGTTGAGCTAGGGGAGGACACTTCTTTGTTTGGACATGATACGTTCTTACTCGATTTGGAACACATTGGAGGTAATATCAAATGCTTTTTAGGCTAGGATTCGAGCGCTGTATTGCGCGGGGATAAGAGGAAACGAAAGACGTGAGGAACAAGGTGGAGCGTCAAAATATAATGTAGGTTGCATAGTGAAGCGATGCGTAATCGCTTTTCGCCCAATGGATGGAATGGTGAAGAAGGGAAGCCCCGGGGATGGTGTGAAAAATATCGCTGGACGACAGGGCAGTCGAAGCTGGAAAGGAAAGTGTCATCACTAATGCCGATGTGATTGCAACACGTAGTAATTGGCTTACAGTCCATGCATGCACATTGGAGTGTTAATGTCATCATCATGCATATCCGTTGACCGAGACAAGCCCACAGCCAGCCAAACCTGAATTCGCTTATGCAGGCCTCGGGAGTTATGACTATGTCGAGCAGCATGCAACCTCTCCTTTGCAGGAGATATCAAAGGAACGAATGCCGAAGGGGGAGATGAAAAGAAGAATATTCTAGGGCGTAGTACTAGGTGCATAAATTACGTCAAATTTATGACAGTCAAAGAAAGGGAACAAGAATTGAAGAACAGCAACAAAGGGGGGGAAAATGGAGAAAATATAGGTAAAGGGAAGAAAAAGGGAAGGAAAAAAGCCAAGCAAGGGAACTAGAATGAGCAGCTCCCGGCCCTGGTGGCTCCCCCCCGGGGACGGAAGGGAGGAAGAAATGACATTGGCCTGCTCAGCTGCTGATGACTAGGGCTTGTCACTTTCCGTGTCATCCATGCAATTATAATGGTAGTAGAGACTCTGAATCCTGAAAGATGGAAATCATATTTAAATTCCCTCTCCTTCCATCCAGGTGAGGAGTCCCTAATAAATTCCTCCCTTCTCGCACAATCAATCCATCAATCCATCAATCCATCAATTCAATAAGGTATTGAGGCTTGCGCTAGTATCAGTATCCGCCTTCCCAACTTTCCCAACTGAGAGAGATATCTTGGCCCATCCACCAATCTACCCACAAACAATTGCCATTGCCATTCCGACATTCACTTTCCCGCAAAGAGGTCTGGTACCTCTCCCTCTTTTCTTTCCACTCATTCTGATTCTTATTCTCATTCTCATTCTCGTCCTCCATCACCATCCGCACCGTAGCAGCCCAAATCTCGCCGCGCGTCAGGACTAGAGTAGCGGCTTCGAAGTTCCCATCCGTCTTCTCGTCAAGGGGGAAAGGGACCAGAGCATTGAAAGTAGCTCAAATTAGCTTATGCTCGCCGTCTGACAACTTTCGCTTCCGAGTCCGCCAACACCTCCACCCTTCGGATCTCGATCCTACCCTTCTTCTTTTTTGAAACAATCACACGCTGGCCTTTCCAACTTGACGGGCGCTTCAGGCAGGCCCCAGGCCTCAGTAGTGAACATGCTCACTTTCCGCAAAGCAGCACTACTAGCCGTGTTCGTGCTCACTGCTATCTACCTACTACACTCATCTCACTCCGCGACCTCCACCGACCCGGCGAAGACTGCAGAGGACTTCAAAGCCGACTTCGATGGATTGACATATCCAGCTACGACAGGCATACCTGCGAATTCGGATCCTGAATCGAGACCGTATCCTCCTCCCCGACAAGGTTCGAGTAAAAAGAACGACGCTCAACAGCCACTGACCGAAGTTGTCACCAAGGGACTACGTGAACAACTCCAATACCAGTTCCCATATGATAGAGCAGGTAAATTCCCAGCATACATCTGGCAGACATGGAAATATACTCCTGCGTCTGGTGACTTTGGGGAAAGCTTTCGGCCAGCAGAGGCAAGTTGGTCTGAACTGCATCCCGGTTTCGTTCACGAAGTCGTTACGGATGAGGCAGCTGTATACCTCCTGAAACATCTCTACGCCTCCGTGCCGGAAGTGCTTGATGCATATGAATCACTTCCATTGGCCGTCTTGAAGGCCGATTTCTTCCGCTACTTGATCCTCCTTGCGCGTGGCGGCATCTACACCGACATTGACACAACGGCTCTTAGATCGACGACGGATTGGATTCCTGAAGAGGTTCCCCGATCTTCGATTGGCCTGATCATTGGTATCGAAGCCGATCCAAATCGCACAGACTGGAAAGATTGGTACTCCCGCCGTATCCAATTCTGCCAATGGACCATCCAGGCCAAGCCGGGCCATCCGGTGCTCCGGGACATCGTTGCAACCATCACCGAGGACGCGCTTCGAATGAGGAAGAAAGGTGTGCTCAAAATTAACAAGTTTGACAAGAGTATTGTTGAATTCACTGGGCCGGCTTTGTGGACAGATGCGGTATTCAGCTATTTGAATGACCCTAATTACTTCAAGATGGATGGGAAGAACATCACATGGGAGGCCTTCACGGGTATGGAGACTGCGAAGAAGGTGGGGGACGTCGTCGTTTTACCAATTACGAGCTTCAGTCCTGGTGTGCAGCAGATGGGTGCAAAGGAGCCGGATGACCCGATGGCCTTTGTGAAGCATGATTTTGAAGGTTTGTTATCACCACCGTGGGATCTGAGAAGAGTATAAGCTAACGAGCCTCTACTAGGCACATGGAAGCCTGAATCAGAAAGAATACATCCTGAGCGCGAGGGCTAGTGAAGACGGCATTTTCCTCAACATGCTACTATCGAAGCCCTTCATAGATCGGCAAGCTCGAAAGTACCCAGCATCACTATATGATTCCTCTGCCCAGTCGACTCCCGCTCGGTTTTATCAAAACAGAGCTGCTCTTCCACACCTAATGCGACACCACAGACAACTTAATGAGGCCTGGTCTTCCCACTATCTCTCTTACGGAAAAACAGAAATCATGGCGACGAGGGGGAGGGTTTTGATTTATTTTGAGACAACAAGTTTCAAGGGCTGAATCTTGTGGATTCTCTTTTACGAACTTAGCATCCTAGCATACGGTATAGCGCTTGTTACTGCTGCATTGGGCACGGAGTTTTGAGATGTGACTGTGAAATACAATGGGCGAGGACATTTGCAGGGCGACAAGGTAGCAAAGATCAAACAATCATTGATCCTATTTTCAATCACGAAATGATCAAAAATGATCAGAAATGATCAAGGGTGCCAAGTGCTACACAACTCTCTTTTCCAAGTTAGCCACTTCCCTATGGGCGGCTACTTCAATCCATCACAAGGGAAGTCTGTTTTTGGCGCTAGTCGTTTCATCAACAAAAAACACTGAATAACGAGACAATGTCATCCAATCCACTTAGAGATGACAGAGCTCTGGTGCTTCATTTTGTATTGCGGAAACAGGGCGAGCTCGACCTTGTCTTCAAGAAAGCAACATGCTCGACAGACTGGTAACATTGTCTGACCAAGGCCGTTCACGCACTGTCTGACACATTCACTTCCACTTTCCTTTCTTGAGCTTGCCCGCTGCTCGTTGCTTCAATAGCTGGGTGCAAATCTGGGGGATCTACACTGCAAAATGGTATATCCCTCGGCCAAACGCCCGCTCCATCAAACCGTTGCAAAAGTGTCATCTCTGGAGATGGACGCTGTCATCTAGAACCTGTTGTCACCAATCCCATGGTCCCCGCCGAGATCCCGCTCGTTTTCTCGTGCCCCGCCCCACATGTTCCACTCATTCTCATTACCCCTCCCTCCCGGCGGGCCTAAAGGATGCGAGTCCGGGGGTGGTACAGGTGTCACCCTGCCTCTTGCACCATGATAACCGGTATCTTCTTCCCCGAGACTCCTCTCATCAGCAACGCCATATTCTTGTCCTGGATCTTGATGCCTTGTGGTAGGGTATGGTGGGGCGTGCGGAGTAGGAGGGTCATATACTCCCATAGTGCCTATGTCACCACCAGCGTTGAGATGAGGGAGGCGTTCCATGGGGCGAGGGTAAGGCACTTCTGGGTTCGATTGCGCGTGTGCAAGCAAGCGGTCGGAATCCTCTTCTTCAGAAAGCGGTTGATATCTAGCTGGTTTGCCAACCTGCACAAAAGGATGAGAGCCATCAAACGAATGGTTGCCAGTCTCGAAAGCCGTGATCTGGTTTCTCGTAGGCTCGAGACCTGTTCCTTGAGCGGAATTCTTGTAGCTGATATCTTCCGTGCGTGTCTTCCGACCAATAAAAAACCATTTGAAACCTCTGCCTACGGCTTTGATGATGTCCCAAGGGTTGAAAGCGTCCATGAGAGCTTTGCTGCCAAAAGGTCCGCCATGGTAAGCCGTCTTCGGATCTGGAAAGAAACCTGCGGCTGATTCTGAGGCCACGATCTGAGAGCGCCGCACATCGTAGACTTTCCATGGGAATGCCCAAAGGTGAAAGACGCTGAATATTGCCATTTCAATGCAGAGAAGCATAGAAGGAATGCCGATTTTGATATCGGGTGTTTGGATGCGACTAGAAGCTTTAATGGCACCAGTGGAGGTGATGCTGGATATGACGAACTGTATGGCCATGTTAATACAAGGTAAGTAGAAAGAATGATATCAGATCGACTTACGGTCTGCCAGAATGAGAGGAAGATGACGAGCTTAATCGCGACGACTTTGAGGAACGGGCTATGCGCTGCGAGGTCGCGTCTGAGCTGGATGTAGAACTGAATGAGACAGTACATCGCAACCGTTACGCAACCTCCTTCTATTACCATGACCTAAAACGATCAACATGTGGGCTTGAAGCTTCGGGGAAAGTAGAGCTTACCCAGACGTGAGCAAAAGCTGGACTGAGAGATTCCAAACAATACCTACCAATAGCCTGTGTGATGACTGCTACTAAGGTCATGAAGACTCTCACGAAGCAGTATTGAAAGACGCCAAACCAAATGATCTGGTAACTAGGTCAGCACTCGGATAGTGCCCAGACAGGTTGCGCTACCGCTCACATTGAACCAAGTCAATCCACTTCTTGGTGTCCTCCAAATCCCGGAGTCACCCCCACAGCATCTCTTGAAATAACTTATTGGCAGGACCCAGCCTCTAGGTTGTATTTTCCTGAAATAGTCTTTCTGGTTATGCAAATCCGGTGCAATGTAAGCGCAAAGCAGAGAAAAAAAACTTGCGATAGCGAAAGCTTCATAGCAATCCCTGATCACTTCAAAGTAGACTGCGCGCGTGTAGAAATAGTATGATAGGAAGGAGACGACGGAGTAGATGGGAACCATGAAGAGAACTCTTATGATACTGATGGCTATTAATTTCAGGGCGCAGGGAAGAAAGGGGGGGTCGACTCACTGCCGTTGTTCCCATGGCTTCAGATAATGGGTACAATGTCGCCATATGAGGTAAAAAGACATAAGGACCGAAACGAGGCCAAACAACGCAGAGAGTATTAGGCCGAAATGGTGAAATTGCAGACCATGCCATAGCTGGGTCTCGTCGACTAAGGCATACAGTCAGAACTTCATTGTACGATACAAAGTCCCGGCAGACCTACTCTTCTCGTATTCCAGCGTGGAATTACATTGTGTCCACACCATCTCGTGCTCGAAGCCTCCACCGCTTTTTAGGAAAACGTGATAGCCTCTGCCTCAGGTATACGACCCAAAGCGTGCTATTTCTGTTGTTGTCGGAGCCGGTGTTGGCTTGTCAATGCAGGGAATTCTATCTCAAGAATGCGCTTCAATTCCGAATATTGGAGGGATGTCAAGCAGCCGTGTGAGTCTCTGAAGACAGGAAATGAAGAGTTGCGAAACGGGCAGGGAAGAATTCGTGCGCTCAATTATTGCTATGGATAGGTACAGGGGTTGTTCCTTTGTTTCGTATTTGGTCCAAAGGGTTGCAGGGTTACAGCCTGATGAAGTGGCGGCGATTCTATGCATTCGTTGGAGTGTGAAAACAACGTTGTAGGAAGCAGTGTGCAAGCGCACCGAAGGCAGGATGGAGTGAGGTCTCATGCAAGCTTGCTAAGTGCCAGCCAACATGGTGCCCTAAGATTACCCCTGCTGCGTTTAGTTTTACGCTGCTGCGCGGCTACGCAACGAGCCCGTCTTCTAGCTAAATTATATCCCTATTCCGTATTCCCTAGTTGCAGAATCACGCGAGGCTACGACACGATGCGTCAATGGCATACAACATTAAGCATGACGCTGTGTTATCATTTCTATCACTACCAAGTATGTGGCGCCATGCTATTGCGTAGTATAACGACACCCATTTCTGGTAATAGAGTATCGCCTGTCCAACCATGCAATTCGATATGATGGTATAAAACATGACTGCCATTCAATATTCTGAACGCCTGTCCCTCCAGCTGTCTCCTCGCAAAGCATCTCCCCTGTAACCTCTGCCTCTTCCCCGATAGCTTCCTGAGTAGCCCCCTCCCCTTCCATACCCACTCCTCCCAAATTCTGGGCCATTGTCTACGATGGAGCCTTCCTCAAACGAGAATCTTTTCATCTCATTACCCCGACCTCCGCCTCGACCTGCCGCTAGCTTGGCCAATCGTCGACCCGCTTCGGCCTTTGGAACAGGCAAGTAGTAAAGCTTTGGCTTCGCCGCAGTCGACGGGAAAAGGTCATCAAGCGCTCGAAACCCATTACCACTGTCTGGCCTTGTTCGTGAGCTTCGCGGCTCCGATCCGCTGATTCGAGGTCCGGATGGTGGTGCAGCCTGCACGCCTTGGCCGGCATCCATTCTGGGAGTTTGTGCGGTTCGAAGACCTCCACTGTTCGAGCCTACTTCTTGCAAGTAGGCTTTGATACCATCTTCTTCATCCTCGTACACTACCTCCCAACGCTTCGATGGTTGCCCGCGACCACTAACCGCCGTTTGCTCGACATCGATCCACGTTTTGAGCTTTTCCTCAGGCACGAAGTCCACCCACAGCTGCCGCCTGTCTCGCTCGTTGGGCCAAACCCGATCATGCAATCCAGAACGAACCCTGGATGCTGCAGAGATATTTGCAAAGCCCACAAGGCAGTGAGTGCGCACGGAATCAAGGAAAAAATCCGTTACTATACTGGGATTGACAGCAGTATCTGGCGGCGTTGCAATGGTTATGAGATGGTCTCTAAGACTTTCAATCTTCAATGGACGCATGAGTTCGCGAATGTATAGAGCAGATGTAGCCGGATGGAGAGCAGGGCTAACTGTTTTGTCTTCAGCATCTGGGTAATGAGACTGTTGGGACGGGGGCTCCAGATTGGCAGGAGCCGTGAAAAGATTTTTGAATCGGGTGTCTGATGATGGTTTCATAGGTGACTCGGCTCTCTTGACCGGTGTGGCCGTAGCGTTTCTCTCCTTTGGTGGGCCCATCTCTTCAAGTGCGCAAGGGTCAATTTGTGATTGCGAAATTCTTGCGGCATCGGTCTGTCCAACTGTAGCCGATGTCCTGTTTATGGCGAATTTACTTTCCCCATTGCTGCATGTATAGCCACTCATCTGAGCATCGCTGTCTTGGGCGTAAGTTGGATCCGGTCGTGACGAACCATCATTCGGCCTTTCTTCTGGATTTGTACGTTCTGCTATAGAATCTTCTGGAAGTTCTACTAGGGGCCTCCCATTGTCTGCCTTCAATCTTTTCTGTGTGATTTCCATAGAGGATGGGGGTGGACTCTGACTCCGCCGCTTTCTCTTGCGTGAATCTTCCAAGATTTCATCGCCTGTGAGCGACGTTTGAGTTGACATTCCCGTTTTAACCTCGGCGGCCTGCACATCTCCAATCCGTGTTTGGACATGGATAGGTAATTGAAGCTCTGACTCTTTTGCATTTTCGTCTGTTTTCTCCGATAGACTTTCACTCTGGGTGCTTTTGAGGGTCAACACATATCCAGACGGCTCTTTGAGAATGTCTGATGCCTGTCCCTCAAGTCGCTCGTCTCCTTGCACCTCTCCTGTTTGAGATTGTGCCCGCACCAATTCACCTGACTCGTAACGAGGCGCATCTTCCTCTGCCACATCTGCAACTTTCAGTTCGTCTTTGTCTTGCTCCTCAGGTTGCGGCGCGTTATCTACTGCATCTTGCGCCTGGGCTTCCAATGGAACCGCTTTTGTCACGAATTCGTCTTCCTGAATATTCTTAGAGGGCTCGTTTGCAGCTGACTCCGTTTTCTCGGGTTGTCCATGGGCTTCAATCAGTCTCTGAACAAGCGCTGCCTTCAGACCTGTCTTTGGAAGTCCACGAGCTACGAGCTCATCCCGAAGTTTAACGACAGTAAGCTTTTCAAAGTCTGGCATGATCAAGGGAAGGGCGCGCACATCTAAGATTTGACCTGAGGTTTGTCATCTGTTAGCTTGTCACTTGCTGAACTTGAGGAAAGCGTGAAGTCGCCGTCACCGCGTTTCATTCAGAACCTGATTACGTAATCATATTTAGCGAATTACAGCGAATAACAGACATAACGCAGCGTCATGTGAAGGCTTCTGCCGCAAATGTCCGCTTCATTGAGTATCCTTTCGGTCCTGCACTACTCTTTGGAGGATGTACAGCTAGAAAGCATCTCAGTGCTTCCATCTTCGTCCGCAAGGTAATTACATGCATGCACATTTCCGAAAGCCGGGAAGGCGCTCTCAACTACGATCTCATACGATCTAAAAGAAGACACTGGGAGTCACGCACGATGCCTTTCGAACGCTCTAGCAAACCCTATCTCGTGTATGTTCATAGGCATCTCCCCGTGACGCCGAACAGTTACTCAAAAGTCTTTGAACTCGTGATCGTACTTCTGCGCCATATCCTTGGAGTATCCGCTCTGGCTCTCCGAAGGGGGGTCGTAATTGTCGAAGTTACTAGCGTCAGCTGCATGTTTGACTTTTGGGATGATAGGGCTTTTGATCCTTCGATGATACAAGGCGTCCCAGTCAATGGTCTCGAAGAACGGGTGAGACTTCACAAGAGCGGTGCCGTTGACACCAGCGCTGGAAATATTGCCAAGCCGCTGAGATGGATTGACGGTACAGAGACTGCCAATAAGGTCGCGGGCATTGGATGACATCCACTGAGGATATTTGACCTTTCCTTCTATGATCCTGATCGGGAGGATTAGCATGGAATGGGCGTACATAGGCCGAGACGGACTCACAGCTCATAGATCTTCATTGGGTTTTGATTCCAGAATGGCGGCTGTCCAACGAGGAACTCGTAAATGAGGATACCAAACGCCCACCAATCAACGGCAGTACCGTGCCCTAGTGTACATCAGATCAATGAAGTTCTGAAGAACCAGGATCATGTTGAGGAGACCTGAAAAGAAGGGTTTGATGAACGCGGCTTTACCTGAATTTCGAATAACTTCTGGAGCGAGGTACTCTGGCGTTCCACAAAGAGTGTAGGTCTCTCCTACACATAGAGTCAGCTAATTTTACGAGCCAAGGTCCCATGATCAGCGCACGATTCGAAATTTCCTTTGCAAACCCAAAATCCACGAGTTTCAGGTGGCCCTCGGAGTCAAGAAGGATGTTTTCTGGTTTCAAATCGCGATACGCAATGCCCTTCATATCATGGAGGAACTCCAGTATTAGTACAATTTCTGCACCGTAGAAACGTGAAGTGTCTTCGTCAAAGCGACGTGCTCTTCGCAAGTATGTGAAGACCTCGCCTCCAGGGCAATAGTCGAGCTTTGAACGGTCAGCGGGATTGTCAGAGCTTTGGACATGGGTTGCGGACTAGCATATACAGACAATCCCGGTCCGAGAAGCTGGTAATCATGGTTGTAATGAAGGGATGGCCGGCTACAGCAGAGAGCGTGTTTCGTTCATTTTTGATATGTTCTACTTGCTTCAAACGAATGACTGTAGAACCTGAGTCCTCCTCTCTTTAAAAAGAAAACATTTTTGCATATTACTTACTATCGACCTTGCGGAGTATCTTCAGAGCGAAAACTTTTTGTCCCTCCTTTGGAGACCCGGCTAAACGAGACAGCCATACACGCGCAAAAGTACCTGGACAAATGAATCAGCTTAGACTTCCGAATGTCCGGAGCAACCTTACCAGTCCCAATAGTCTTGATCAATTCAAAGTCTCCCACTCGTAATTGTTTGGACGCAACCCCGACCTCTTTGCTGCGAGGGTTTTCCGCAATCTGACTTGGCGAAAGAGGAGGCCCATTGCACTCGAAGCATGCTATAAAATTCTTCTCTTTTTGCTTCTGTTCCTCGTCAATTGGCTTATCATTGGCCAAGTTGCTGCTGTTGGTACGGAACAATTTATGGCCGTGAGGAGCGTGGAAGTGGGATTTGAATTTCGCGGTTGCCATCTTGATGCGCAGCAGGCTAAGTCGTCTTGGAATGATGCTTGGCGAATTTTCGAGGTTGGCAATGGCCTCCGGTGGCAGGACTGCCGTCGAGCGACATCGTTCAGAGAGTGTGTCGTGGGGGGGGAGTGAAGTTGGATGGCTGATGATGAGCCGGCGGGACTCAGGCCAAGCCCTGGTGCCATCTAGACTGCTTTTTCCGCTCTGCTTACCTAGTTTATGACGGAATTAATGCAAGGATATCTGAGTTTAACACCGTATTCCTTAATACCTAAGGTAAGCTGCTATCGATTATTCAGGGTCTTCTGCAGGGTGATTTGCAGAAAGATCTTTGTCCATTTGAAGAGAGTTTGCAGATTGCTCGTGGTGGATGAGCGATAATATTTGTCGGGTTGTGGAATCTGTCGGGTTATGTGAGTGAGAGTGAGATTTCACAAAGTGGGATAAGTCAAAATACTCCTTAGAGCCGTGGAGCCTTCCGTTGAACTCTCGGGACTTTCGTACAACCACCAGAACTTACAAGTCACTGTTTATTTTGGGGAGCTTGGCACTCGAAAGGAATTAATTCCGGGTGATCGGAAGCCGGTTACCTATTCACCTATTTTCTTTCATTCACACCAAAATGGACCAACAACGTACCACACAAGCTATAACACAAAGCGGATTTTTGTTATACCTATCTCTTAGATTTCAAAGCCACGGAGTATAGCAACATAATCGCCAAACAGCTGCACTTCATAATGGTTCTAAATATCAACGATATGTGAGGTGCAATATCAGATCATTGTTCAGGACCAACTATATCATCTAGTATTCTAGGAGTGTGCCTGACGGTCACAGCTCATTTGGTGTAGTGTCTGACGCGAGCTCAAAGCCGGCGTCTACATCGATGCCAGACCAGACTTGCGATGCTGTCCTGCCAAATCCCATCAAAACACCTTCAATCTGTACTTGTATTCAGGATGAGAGCAACAATGAGTCTGCTTTCACTTAGCTAAATCTCTCTCTCTGCTGCACCAACAGGTAAACCTTACCCGTAAAGACCCAGTACCTCTCCAAAAATCAATATCAGCACCATGCCCACGAATATCCTTGATTGTAACATATATGACCGAACTCCCTATACCTCGTAAGCTTCGAGAAGTGCACACAGTTGCAGAAAAATGTTGACTTACAACATCGCCTACGACACCAATTGCGTAGCCTGCTGCTAAACCTGTGAAACCGACTGATAGGCCTGCCGCAAGGTGCATGAAGCCACTAGGATTTAGGTAAGTACGGCAACAACATGAGTGGTACCGACTCTTGCATCGCACGTACTTAAAAAGACTGTAATTCTGCCCTGGGGGTGGCTCCAGATCTCCGGCTATCAAGACTGCTATCACCAGGGAGTATACGGCGATGATTCCAGCCATGACCACTGGAATCAGAGACTGTAGATCCTTGGGGTCAGCCTGGCGATTCCGAAAGTATCAAATTGTCCTCCAGACCTTCATTATCAAATCTGGCCTGAATGTCCCCACGCCTGCGATTCCAATGCCGGATTTGGCAGTGCCATATGCTGCCCCCGCACCTGCATACACATTTCGTAAGCCATCTAGTAGTATCAGGATCGCGGTTCATTTCCTAAGAGCATACATCCGAAGATCATCTGCGAAACATTAGCCTGCAGCGCTGGAGTAAGGTAGTTGGGGTGAGGTGACATGGAGCTTACAGCAAATGCAATACCCCCCTGCGCAAACCCATTAGCATCGATCCAGGTAGCAAAGATCTGACTGTCATACCATGCCGAAGAAGGGCGCAAACTTGGGAGACAACTCTGCTTCCGCCATGTCTGCCTCGATTTGCTTCTATATATCCAGGTTTTCGGTCAGGCTTCGCCAATCGCTGACGTATTGCAGAGAGTTCCTAAGAAACCTCAGGGAGAACTGTAGTGGGAGGACTGTCGGAGGTGAAGAGGCTTCAGCATAAAATTCAGACCAGTATGGTTCTGAAGTGAAGTGTGCTGCAGCAGAGAGTGTTTCGTGGAGTGTGGAGTGTGGAGTGTTGGGCAGTAGATGCAGGGTTCGTACTTGTCCATCCCCGAGATTTCTTGCTCGCCCGCTACAGCCATTTCCGAAACATCAGTCCCAATTTTTCGTTCAAGGCCACTTTGACAGGTAATATGTTTGCACTCTCCAGATGCTAATCACCGTATTCCCAACGATCGCACATCCCTTGGGTCTGGCTCACTCCCCAGCATTCGATCCGGCCGTCGTCTAAATACCCACTTCGCGAACACGAAGGAAACAACACCTCTGACTTGACCCCGCGAAGAATCAACAGCAGAAGTCACAAGCACGAAATAAACAATTATGTCTACAATTTAGCCGAATCAGCTTTGGGACCAATGTTGATGTTTCCGGAACCTTCGCCGTCAGTCTAACGACAGGCAATTCGCCATTCCCTCTACTGCTAGGAAGGCATTGCCTGCTGCCGTTCGGCATATTTCTTGATCCATTCTGTAGTGAAGATAATACTCAAGATTACGTTACCAGGCATGGCAGATTATGGGGTTCAGCAGGACCGGAATGTCCGTCCGAACAACTACGGACATGCGTCCTCCTACCAACGAGATGCGGCGTTCTCGAATATTTTTGGAGCTTCTCCGCCGCCAGGAAGGTCTCAGACGATGAGCAGCCAAATCCCTCAGCTGCCTGCTGAAAGATCGCAAACTATGACTTCTCAATATTCCGTGGCGTCTCAAATATCGTCCGCAGCGGCGCGAAGGCCTTCTCCAGGGGATCGCCAACAATCGAACGGCTATCCTCTCTCCAACACGAATGGATACTACCCAAACCAGAGACAAAGCAGTGGCCTTGTACAGCCGCAACCCCTGCCTCAATATCTGCCTCAACCGTTGAACCCAAACCAACGTCCTTACCCTCAACCTCAGCGCATTGACGCTCGCCAGCCCGCGCAATCGCAATACAATAGACAACCACCCAATCGTGGGTATCCTCCAAGCCTTGTAGACTCCTACAAGCCTATCCCGAATCGAGGCTATCCTTCCAATCCGGCTCTCAATGCCGATCCGTACCGAACGCAGTCCATGGCGTCGATGACAGCCCCCGCGACCTACAATCCGCCTCCGAGTAATTACAACCAGGCATCCGCGAACTCTTTCCGTCAGCCGTCATATCAGTCTCTAGGGTCTAGAACGACAGCGCAAGGGCGAATCGTTCCAGAACGGCATGACGAGAGGGCCATGTCGATGAACTCTTTCTCGATGGAAAGAGATCATAACCAGACAATGAGTGGAAGAATTATACCTAATCGGAGAAGAGAGTCTGGTGCAGAGCTCCCCGCGGATGATGAATCCACTCGAGATACTCCTTCACGCACCCCAACGCTAACCAACCCAAGTGCTCGTGACAGGACCACCAACCCTGATAGTACCCCCTCCCGAACGATGTCTATGGCATCTACCATTGTGCCTCCCTCTGAAGCAAATGACTCTTTACAGCATAGGCCTTCCGTACAGAAGGGGACCTCTGGTAATAGTGCTGTCATCTCCGCCCAAAGCAGGGCTCCACTGGTATATCCTGCGCTATTATCCCGGGTAGCCGATGTTTTCCGAGAACGAATATCGGCTGGGGATCGCAACAAGAACGATCTGTCCTACAAATTCGCCTTCACTGGTGCAGAAGCTGTGGATCTAATATCGTACATAATCAAGACTACTGATCGAAATCTTGCTCTACTTCTGGGCCGAGCTCTGGACGCGCAGAAATTTTTTCATGATGTTACTTATGACCACCGGCTCAGGGATTCTTCGACGGAGATATTTCAATTCCGGGAATCACTCATGGAGGATACGTCAACACACGTCAATGGTGTATTCACTCTTCTTACTGAATGCTATTCGCCCACCTGCACAAGAGACAGACTTTGCTATTCTATAGCATGTCCCCGACGGTTGGAGCAACAGGCACGATTGAATCTGAAGCCACAGCCAGGATTGAGGCGTCAGCAGTCATCAACAAGCATACATGGCGAGGGAGACTGATGAGCAAAAGCTCTGGATTAACACGGTCACAAAAGAGGTTGCTGACAGCGTGGGAGAAAAAGAGAAGAAGCGGCAAGAAGTAATATCGGAGATAATGTATACCGAGCGCGACTTTGTGAAAGATCTTGAATACTTACGAGATTTCTGGATGAAGCCTTTGCGCTCTGCGAACACTTTGAGCCCATCTCCAATTCCTGAACGACATCGGGAAAGATTTATTCGAACGGTGTTCTCCAATTGTATGGAAGTGCACCAGGTAAATTCGCGGATGGCTGAGTCTCTGACGAGAAGACAGCAAGAGAATCCAGTCGTACGGAATGTAGGTGACATTTTCCTAGAATGGGTACCAAAGTTTGGTCCATTCATCAAGTATGGAGCCAATCAGCTCTGGGGCAAACATGAGTTCGAGCTGGAGCGCACAAGGAACCCCGTGTTTTCGAAATTCGTTGATGAGACAGAGCGCCTCAAAGAGTCAAGAAAGCTTGAATTGAATGGTTACTTGACCAAACCAACCACGAGATTGGCACGGTACCCTTTACTTCTCGAAAACGTTTTGAAATACACTGCGGAAGATAATCCAGATATCAAGGACATCCCTAAAGCTACTGCAATGATAAAAGATTTGCTGCAAAAAGTAAACACGGAGTCTGGCAAAGCCGAAAACCAATTCAACCTGCGGCAGCTACAGTCGGCTTTGAAATGGACCTCAGGCGGACAAGGTGATCATCTAAAACTTCTGGAGGAGGGTCGTGAGCTGGTCTACAAGGGCCCTCTGAAGAAGAGTCCGACGGATTCGAGCGAAGTCCATGTGTACCTGTTCAACCACGCTCTGCTTTTTGTAAGACAGAAAACAAACAACAGACAGGAAGAGCTTCGGGTGTACAAGAAACCCATCCCGCTTGAGCTGTTGATCATCACCCAAATGGATGAGGTCATTCCCAAGTTAGGCATCTCAAAAAGGCCATCGTCAAGTTTAATACCAGGGGCAAAGGCAGCGATCAACGGCCCAAAAGCTGCTGGCGGCGCCAAAGAAGGCTTTCCCATGACGTTTCGACATATCGGTAAAGGTGGATTCGAGCTGACTCTTTACGCCGGCTCGACAATTGCAAGACGGAAATGGATGGAGAACATCGAAACGCAGCAGGCTAAACTTCGAGATCGTGGTAACTTCTATACCAAGGCAGTGCTTTGCGACAACTTTTTTACCAATGCTCATAAAGTAAATTGCCTTGTGCCAATCGGTAAGTTCTCGGTGACATTTTTGAGATATCAGCTAATCCCCAGTAGATGGTGGTCGCAAGCTTGTTTTCGGAACGGACTCCGGTGTCTATGTATCAGACCGAAAGCCCAAATCGCCCGCCGCGAGACCGAGACGCGTGCTCGACATTTCTTCGGTCACTCAAATCGATGTCTTAGAGGAATACCAACTTCTACTTGTACTTGCCACCAAGAGTCTAATGTCATACCCTTTGGAGGTCCTGGACTCTCCTGACAATGTGTCGCCAATGTTGAAGAGACCAAAGAAGATCCAGAACCATGCCAACTTCTTCAAAGCAGGGGTTTGTATGGGGAGACATCTTGTGTGTTCGGCCAAAATGTCGGGGATTTCCACCACCATCAAGGTGTTCGAGCCGATGGACACAATTTCAAAAGGCAAAAAGAAGCCAGCCATTGGTAGGATGTTTCAAGGTGGCCAAGACACACTCAAGCCGTTCAAGGTATGTATTAATCACTGCTTTGTGGAGCCTCGTACTGAACCCTTCAGGAATTCTATGTACCCGCAGAATCGTCGTCGATAGACTTTCTAAGATCCAAGCTATGTGTCGCATGTTCTCGAGGCTTCGAGGTAGTGAGCCTCGAGACCCTTGAGACGCAACCGCTTCTCGATCACGCAGATACCTCTCTCGATTTCGTCACTCGTAAAGATATCATCCCTATCTCTATCGAACGGCTCAATGGCGAATTTCTTCTCCACTACACTGACTTCTCTTTCTTTGTCAATCGAAATGGTTGGCGGGCTCGACCTGACTGGGTGATAAACTGGGAAGGTCGGCCTCACACCTTTGCCCTCTCGCATCCTTACCTCCTTGCGTTTGAGCCAAACTTCATTGAGATACGCCAGTTAGAGACTAGCCAATTGGTGCATATCATCACGGCCAAAAACATCCGCATGTTACACTCTTCGACACGAGAGGCAAGTCTCCATCTACTTGATTGCTCGCAAATGGAACGAACTAATGGTGTGACCCAGATCCTGTACGCTTATGAAGATGAAGGCGGCGAAGACGTCGTCGCAAGCTTGGACTTTTGGTCCAAACCACCACAATAACGCCCGTTCTATCGAAAAGGCCCTTTCAATTGGCACCGATCCCTAGCCTACTCTTGCCCTTCGCGAGCATTGTGGCCCGAGGGTGTCTGGCGTTCCATTACCTCGATCACCTTAGCATGTCGTTCATCTATGGGTGGCTTCTCTGTATGTCATACTATTGGCTACGCAGGAATAGAAGGAGTTTGGCGTATCTTCGTGATCTGCGTGAGAAGGCAAGCACTGAAACCATAAGGGATGGACGATGTTTACGAGGCTGTTTGATATCTGCATGGCAGCATACCTAGGCGTCCAAATCCACATGAGCAGGCCTTTGACTTCTGCTTGTCTCTAGGAAGCACTTTCAAGGTCTATGCGGCGACGCTCGATCGCAACGGTAAAGTACGAGCAAGCCAGCGCAGTCTCGCCTCTCGACAGCAAGCTTTAAATCATAATTTGTTCTGGTCTTCTCTTCCAATTACAGTGGATACTGGGACGGGCCACCGTTCTCGACATCGGACCACTGAAATTGACATGCTCCAGGGCTTGTCTTCCATCGAGCTTGACGTCTCGGTGTCATGGACCTTTGGGCGTGATATGTGCACTTCTTAAATCACAGCTTCCCCTCCTCCCTCAGTCCCTCATAGAGCGCCCACGCAGCCAAAACCTTCGCGTCCCTTCCCCCATGCCTCCACACTTTCTCCAACGGACAAAGCATTAAGGTAATCTTCTCCCCATGATCTCTTAGGCCCGTTAGCTTTCCCTGCCACCCATTCATTTGTTCTCTTGGTATTCGTTTTTGCCACAAGAAAATCGGCACAAATTCATCACAACCCCCTGGCGACGGATAAACGCCCTGCTGTAAATTTTCCTCATCATCAGATGTGGCACTGGACAAGGCGAGTTCGGTCATGTTTGTGAGCTCATTTGCTGGAACCTCCAATCCCGTCTCTTCTTCAATCTCTTTGGCGGCCCCACCGGCGAATGTACCAGCATCGTCGAGCATTCCAGCCGGGAGTTCGGCAAGGGATAGCGAGCCGGCAGGGATACGCGGTTGCATGGTGAGGATCACATGTTTCTCATCTTCCGACTTGAAGGGGACGTCATCAGGTTGTAGGATTAGAAACATGCCGACGCTGCCGCCTCGTAACTGGATTACAAGTTCTCAGTGATCATTGCCTATCTGAAGAGTAATTTGAACCTTGGAACATGTTTCGAGGGTGAATACTCCCAAGACATGTCTCAAGACTCGAGAATCTTTTCAAAGGAGGAAACAGGGACTCCGAAAAACGTACGAAGACGGAACCGGGTAGCTTCTCACCCTTGTCGTTTGATACTTCTGCTTTCAACTTGACAAAGCCGATGCGTTTACCTCCAAAGAAGTCCACAGACTGGATTTCGATGGTGCGGAGCTTGTACGGAGCAGAGTGGAAGGTGTGAGACTTGTTCTGCTGCGTGGAAAGGGAATGCTGCAGTGTAGAAATCCATGTCTTGAAAGCTGGAAATGAAAGCAGCTGCTCCTGCGAGAGGTCTGAGGTCAGATGAACTGCAATCTGTGGATTGCTGTTAGGGAGAGTAAATGTAGACATTGCTGCGAGACTTGATTTAAACAAGGACGAATTCAACGGGTTGCAAGAATTAACATGGGCAGCTGCCAGCCGAACGCTCCTGATGGGGGAAGAACATGAATACGTCGGCGGGCTAAGCAGCAATCGATAAAGCATGGAGTTGTTCCCTAGACCAACGACAGCGACAGAGGCAATGTTTGCGTATCATGACTGAAGCTTCTAGTCTCAGAAAGGCCCCACGCAAACCCTGCCAAGCCTCGTTTTTTTTGATGGTTTGGCTGATATGAGATATTTACCCCTAGATCAGCATTGATTAATTTCGGGTAGCTTAAACCCGAAGTGGGTTACCCTCGAAGCTATCTCGAAAAGATATTTTTAAAATATTTTGATTAATTTAAGTAAAGATTTATAAATTAAATTTAGAAAGTTAAATTATCTTAAGTTAAGTCGAATTTTAATTTTAATTCTAATTTAAATTAAACTCTAATCGCTTATTATACGTTTTTAACTTATTTTTATTATTTCGAAATTAATAAAAGAGATAAATATTTTATTATAAATTAAATCGAACTTTACTTCTTTCTATATAATATTTAACTTACTTCTATTATTATAAACGAGTAAAGATCTATAAATTAAATTCATAATCATTGTTTTTAATTAGGGCTGTCGAGTAAATTTGATAAGCGATCTTTGATAAGCGAACTTTGATAAGCGATATTTGAATTCCTTGCGCTTTGATAATTATAAGACTAAATTTAAGAATTATTTTTTTCTCTAAAAGCTTATATTTCGTTCTATAATTTAAAAAAAAATCTTAAAATTTTAATAGAAAATAAAAAGTTATTCTAAAATTAAATAATGTATATCTATTCTTTAATTAGAGTTATTCGACTATATTTTTTTAATAATTATAAACTCTAATTTATTTATTCGCGATAATTTAATTAATTTAATTAAAGAGCGTAGTAACTCTAAATTTATAATTAACTACATATATAAATTTAAGATTTTCAAGCTTAGCTCTATCTTATTCTTTTATATATACTAATTATTAATTAATTACGAGTTTAAATCTATAAATTAAATTTATAATCTATTTTTTAATTAGAACTATCTATCGAAATGTATTATCTAACTAAATTGAAAGATTAGCTAAGACGAGAAAGATTTATTAAGACTTAGCGATATATATATTTATAATACTCTCTATAGTTAGATCTAATTAATTAAGTATTTTATCTATTACTTTTAATAAATTATAAATCTAAATTATAAAGTATTCGTTTAATATATTATTTATAAGTTAACTAACTTATTAATTAAGTGCTTAAAAAATAAAGAAAAACTCTATTATAATATTATATCGCTTAGCGATATTATTATAATATTAAATATCTAATTAATTTACTTTAAGATAACTTAATAGTACTCTCTAAATTTTATTAACCTCTAAATAATAAATTATACTTATTATATAATAATTATAATCTTTATAAAAATCTCGCTATTACTATCTTTAGCTACTATATTAAAAAATAAAGAATTAAAATAAAAAGCTTAAATACTAAGTTAATTAAAAAATTTATTATATTAATTAATTAATTAAGCGCTTTAAATAATATTAATTTTATTTATAAAACGCTAAATCTATAAATAGAAATAATATAGTTATAAAAGAGATAATATATAAAAAAGTACTCTTATTTTTTAATTAAAATATAATTATATTAGCTAGATAGATTATAATAAAATATTAATATATTAATACTATTAATCGCTTAATTAACAAGTTATTAAATTAATAACTAAATATTTAATTAATAAAGAATATAATTATCGCGTAAGATAAAGAGTATAAAGAGTTTTTAGATTTTCTATTTGATATAAACTCTATATTTATCTAATTACCTTTAAATCTAATTATATTTTTAAAAAAATCTTTATTTAATTATACTAATTAAGATAATATTATATACTCTAAATATAATTATATATTAATATTTTCTCTTAATTAAGATAATATTAAACGCTTTAAATATAATTATTTATTAATATCTCTTACAATTTAAAATAAATCTAAAAGCTATTATAGATTATACGCGTTTATTATATCTTTAAATATTTTTTAAAAATAATTCTATATATTATATAATAAAGCACGCGCGAATAAATATATCTTTAAGCGCGATTTTTCTCGATATAATTAAGTATTAAATAAAGTTTAATATTAATTTAGAAAGTATTTAAAAAGTTAAGAATATAATTATTTATTTATTTATTTCTCTAATAACTTTATAATTTCTAATAATTTAATCTATAAGTTATCTTTTAAATTAATTAATAGCGAGAATCTCTTTAATATTATCATATAGCTTATTAAGTTTAATTCTCTTATAAACTTTTAATCCCTTCGCGTTTTAAATAATATATCGAAATTAAAGTTATATTAAAAGAAACTAACTTAAATATAAAATTTAATAAACTATTTTTTTATATTATTAAATTTAAAAGATTTAAAGATCTTTAAATATAATAGTAAGATATATATTAATACCTTATAATATAGCGTCTTATTAAATTTACTAGAGTTAAATAAAAAAATTACTCTATTATTTCTATCTTAATCGAAGATATATTTAACGCTAAAATTATAGAGTTTATTAATATTATTAAAGATAAAGTTATTAAATAGAAGCTAAGATATAAATTAACTATTAATATTATTTAGAATTATCTTAATAATAATCTATTATTAAATCTAGAAAATAAAACTAATATCTATTTTTTATAAAAGATTATTATTATTAATAATAAGTTTAAAGATTTCGATATTCTTAATAATCTCTATTATTAATTACTTAAGTTAAATCTTAGCTAATATAAAAATATATTAAATTTTATAACTTATCTTAAAAGTATTTATATCGATATTATTAATATATTATCTAAATTAAAATTAAAAGCTAATTTTTTTATTTTTCTCTTTTATATCGAGTTAAGTAAGATTTATACCTAATATCTATTTTATCTATTATATTTAAAATTATAAATTAATAAACGAGATAAATATAGAGCTTATCTTCTTATTAAAATATATTACTATTTAATTTATTTAGATAATTATTAATTTATCTTTTAAGCGTACTAAATTTAGCTATATCTTTATTATTTAACGCTCTTATTATCTTATTTTAGATAATTTAAATTTTATTATTATTATTAAGTTATAGAAAAGAGTTATATCTAATCTTAATAATTATATAATTTAAAAGCGAGTTAAATACTATATTTACTATAAAAAGTATTATTATATTAAAATATAATATAATTAATTTAGTAGAAAAGGTTAAAATAAAAATATTAGCGATAATAATAATAGAGATAATATCTAAAATAACGATTTTAAATCTAATAATAAAAAGAATAAGAATAAAGATTATAAGTCTAATAAGAAGCGTTATTATAATTTTATTAATATTAAAAAAGAAATATATATTATATATATCGTTAAATTTAATAGTTTCTTTATATAATAAACTCTAGATTATATCTATTTATAGCACTTTATTTTTTATTAAAACGCTTTTATTAAATATTATTTTCTTAATTTTAAAATTAATAATATTTATCTAATTAAAAATATTAAAAATTCTTTTATCTCTATCGATATTAATAAAATATATCTTAATATTATTATTAATAATAAGAAGAAGAAGTTAATTTTTATTAATATTCTTTATCTTCTCAAGTTATCTCTTAATCTAATTTCTTAAAAATAATTAATATATAATAATTTACTTATAAAATTCGTTTTAAATAATATTAAAATTAGTTATTATAATATTATTATTTAGCTATAAAAAAATAATCTATATATCTTTAATATATAAAAGTTAAAATTTATATTAATATCGTTTAAAACTAAATTAATATTTATATTAATACTTAAATAATATAATATAAAGTTTATTATATTTTAAGCTATTTCGAAATCGATATATATGCTATATTGTTACGATAATACGTAACTCGCTATCGCGATATTGCGATAAGAATAAATAAAGATAAAATAGCAGATATAAAGAAGAATTAGATATTTACTTATAATGGCGTCGGCGTTAATATTGTTATTAAGAAGAATAAAAGTTAGATTAAAAATAAGTCTTTTATATTTATTAACGCGACTTTTAACGATTACTATAATAGAATTATTACGATTATAAAGTAATAATATAATAATAGCGTATAATAATAATAATAATAATAATAATAGTATATCGTAATAGGGTAGTATTATATCTATATTTTATTAATTAAAATAATAATATATATAGCGATACTATCGCGATTTAGTATATAAATATAATAATGTATTTAAGAAGACCTTAGAATATATAGTATAAATACGCTATTATAATATATATTAGTTTAGATTATATTTAAACTAGTAATAGATAGTATAGATAATATTAATAAGTTTATATATATTTAATTATAAGGCGTAATAATAATAAGATTTAGAGGTTAAATCTTCTAAGGGGGGATATAATTATAAGAATAAAAGTACTTAAAGCGAATTAATAGACTCGCTTATATTGCTTATTAGACTGTAAGTTACGTAGTTAAAGCGAGTATTTAATATACTTAATAAAGTCTTAAATACTTATAAATCTTCTTTTCCCTTCTTTTTTCTTTAGTTATTAGTTTATCTAATAACTAATCTATTTATTTTATTAACTATATATCTAGACCTCGTAATTATATAGCTACTACGCAGTTCTATTAAAAGAGGCCTTACTACTTTATAATATACTTTTATTACTAGATTAAGCGAACTTAAGAGTACTTTAATAGCTTATATACTATTATTAATATATATTAACTTCTTATTCTTACGCTTAATATAGAGATTTAAATTAGATAATAAAATATTATATAGCTTAATATTAGCGAAGAGATAAAAATAATATTAAAAATATATTTCTTAAAAGTTTCTCGATATAAATATATTATTTAAA